TGTGTGTGTGTGTGTGTGTGTGTGTGTGTGAGAGAGAGAGAGAGAGAGAGAGAGAGAGAGAGAGAGAGAGAGAGAGAGAGAGAGAGCATCAATGCTTCCACTTTTGTGATTTGCTGTCATTTGTTAAGGGACCCTTTGGACTGTGGATTTGGGAAAGTGATGGTCGTTGTTCCACATTTAAGGTGGGCCTCATTTTGGAATCTGTGCATTCTATTTATAGTCAGGCCTCATCCTTGCTGTGCTGCAGGAAAAGAAACGGCAGATGGTTGCTTCAGCCTTTGGGGAGACATGCCAGTCAGCTGAGAGGAGCCGCTTAACGCTTGAGGATCTTCATTTTCTTTTCCGCACACGATTTCATGGTGGCGCCTAGCTTTTCGCCAATTTCTAGGCTTGCTTCTCAAAGGGCGAATCGCAGAAGTTTGAATCTTAAACCACCAGCACACCCGGGCCTGGAGGCGCTGCACTGCGCACCAAGCCTTTCCGAACCGCCAATGACGCACTTTTTTCTTTTTTCGGCTGGCGCTGCCAGCGATTGTGGTTCGATAGCCCCGAGCCCCAAAACGTTTGGAGTTGGCGACTCGCAACTTCTGCGAGGCTGCGGCTGTGTACTGGTGTTTAAAACCGATGGATGATGGGCGCCTTCCGAAGGCCGAAGGCCAATTTCACTGACTAGTGCTCGGCTTTCCTTCTCACGTAAGAAGCACACGCCAACGCCCGGGGTGGTTGTGGTGCGGTCTCAAGAGTGCCGTGTGTGTGAGAAATCAAGCAACGGCCCAGGCCACTGGACGAGACATTTGGTGATGTACTGTCACAGGAAGCGTCTGGGGCTTACTTCAAGATTGGAAAATCAAGTTATCTGCACCGGTCTTCTGAGGTGCAACATCAACGGATATAGAATTTTGACTTTGACTTCCCCCCTTTGTAGAGCGGGAGTCGGCGCCACCGGACCAATTTCACTGACTAGTGTATATGCTGCCGCAGCGCAAATGTCAGCTTCCTTCCTTCCATCCTCTGTTCATGTGCATTCACATACACCAGGCATTTCTTGTACAACATCCAAATCTCTCTCTCTCTCTCTCTCTCTCTCTCTCTCTCTCTCTCTCTCTCTCTCTCTCTCTCTCTCTCTCTCTCTCTCTCT